GTAAATCTAGGCTACAAGTAACAGTAAAATAATATTCAAGATCAGATTTTTATTAGAAAATTTGAGGTAAAAGTCACACACTTAAGGATTTAATAATATCAGAAACCTCACAGAGATGTAATCAACACTCACGATATTGGGTGCAATTCATTTTTAATTTCCAGTTAGCTTTTTTTTTTAACCATAGACTTCCCTTTTCCATCTCTAGGAAGTGAAATTTCAACTCAGTAAAGGCAAAACTGAGCAAGTAGTTATTACAAGCTTGTTAAGTCAGGGATGGTGGTGTACAACTTTAGTCCCAGTATTCATAAGGCAGAAGCAGGTGTTCTCTGTGAGTTCAATGTCAGCCTGATCTACACAGTAGTTACAGGACAGTCAGAGCTACTTGTAGAGGAAAATCTTGTCTCAAAGAACAAAACAAAAAATGAAATAAACGCACATTTTATTTAAAAACAAATTTATACCATTTTTACCCATCACATAATGTACAGATTCTAATTTCAAATATAAAATCCTGAGTGTAGAAAATAATGCCTCTGCCAACTGGAAGGCACCAAATTACAAACACAGAAACTAAACTAATGAAAACGTGAACAAGAGTGTTAAGTCTTCTTGCATGTCATCCTAACACAGCAATAACTGATCAGGGTAATTCAAAGGCCCCACTAATGAATTTAGACTTCAATTCTCAAAGAATAAAAGTCTGTTTAATTATGGTACCTGTCTTCTTTAAACAAGACTAGAAAATATATTAAGCGTTTTGTCCTTCTAGTAATTTTCCAAACTCTGAAATTCGGGAAACATGAATCACCAAATCAACAAAACAATGGCAATACTGGAAAATAGCCTTTAATAGGATGAAATAGCCTCTGGTTTTTCAAGAACTGACTGTGTTAGTAAACAATTTAAGACATGAATGTTGATGTCAGAACAATGATGTAGTTTTTTAACCAGATAAAAGGTAGAAACAGGAATCCACAAACCATTGTTAATGATTCCAAGTCTTAGGTTGTGTATACAACTTAACCATAAAGAGACTAGACCGAGCAACTAAAACATTGATTTCTTTCCTTCTGTTAATATCACTTTAGTGTGTCATTATCTTTCTCTGGTTAACTCAAACTTTTTACTGGAACTTTAAGTGTGACTACTAAATATGACAGTAAGATTAGTTAATTTAACACTTTATTTGGGATATAAAGTCAACTTTAATTACACTGGGTCAAGGTGAGAAGAAATTCCTAAGGTTCCTAAGGTAAGAGGACCCAGGTGGAAGTTAAACAAAAATCTAAACAGGTTGAGAATCACTGAATTTGATTACTTAATGTCTGTGATTACTTTAGACTTATTTTGGTGCGAAGGCTGTGTCTGCCAGTATCTAAAACTGGTGATTTCAAGGATGGAAATGACAGCTACCCTTATCTCCTTCCTAAAGACAGAGAAAAGTACAGCTGTTTCTCTTAGAAACAAAGATGCTTTCTACCATTCTCCTAAGATGGTGGAAGAGTCTCCTTATGAGGCTCCCCCAAGGAAAATAAGGAGGAAATAAATTCTGCTATAGCAGAATTCCCTGGCTGTGCTTCATTCCATCGCTCCTAGTCACACATACTCTGGTCCAGCCATCTCCTTCCAGGGAGGTTAAGCCCTCCCTGGGCATTGTTTGGCCAGGGTCCCTATTTACACCACTCAGATCGCCTCCACCATCCCAGCGCTGTGGTCTCGGTAAGCCGGGGGACTGAAAAGGAAACGCTAGGGCAGGACCTGATCTCGGGGACCTCTTCAAAAGCCCCTCTTCCTAACTGGGGTAAGCAAAGAAAGAAGCCGGCCTCTGCTCGGGTGGGCTCCTCAGTGGTCAGAGGCGTCCCTCAGCCGGTGCCGGAGAAAGGTGGCCATTTGAGCGTTTCGCTTCGCATCAAAAAGCCCTACCAGAGCGAGGGGCCTCCTCGGGGCCCGGGTTCCGCCGTGTCAGGTGCGGCCCGCGGCTCCCAACCTTCGGGGTACCGGCGGACACCGTGCACAGGCCGCCGGGCAGAGACAGCTCCCCGCCCCACCTCTGGGGACCGGGCAGCGGGGCCAGGGCCCCAGCCGCATCTTGCCCGCCCCCGCCCTACCTGAGGGGCCCGGGCGGGGTCGCTAAGGGCCGCTCCCGGGGGCCCCGCGACGGCGCGGCTCGGCGACGGAGGCGCCTCGTCTCGCCGGGGCAGAGCTCGGCGGCGGTTTCAGGGCCTCAAACTCCATCGGGAGCTACAGGGACAGCCCCGTTGGCGGCGGCGAAGGCCGCGACGGGGCCTCCTCCTCCTCCCTCCCTCCGCCTCCTCCTCCTCCTCCTCCTTCTCCTCCTCCTCACCACGGAGGCGGACCTGGAGGGATCCCGATTTAGCTCTCGCGAGAAGATACTGTTCACTTCACGCGAGATTACGCAAGCCCGGGAGTTGGAGTGGAAGGGAAGCGTAGTGGCCCCGCCACCTAAACTGCGCATCAGTTTCCCTTCTGAAGAAGAAAGCCACCTTCGTCACATGACAAGGGAACCCCAGAGTACTGTGGGAGATGATGCGAGGACTAGGCAAGCCGAAGGGCCTTATGGGAAACTCCCTGCACATCTAAGCCTTTAACCAGGGTGCTTGCCGGATTGAGGAGCTGTTAAACTTATCCATAGAGCAGAACCTGTTAAATCTATCTATGCTACATCCTACTTTACTCTCTTGTAGTGAGTTACTAGCCAGATTAGGAAATAATTCGCCAATTTACAAAACCCAGGAACAAATTGAAAACGTTTGGCAAACCCACCTACCTCATCTAAAATCCCAAATGCCTCAAAGGGATAAGGATCAAAATGTATAAGACTTTGAATTGTAATTCAATATTTGTTAGAGGATTTATGGCAACCTGTAAGGTAGGAATTATCCTTTATGTTCTTACAAATGAAGAAAAACTGAAAATAAGGATGAGAGAAGCAACAGTTATTAACTACTATATGCCAGTCTGTATGATGACTGATATTTAAAAAGTATTTTAGTTTTATAATTAATTTATTTATCGAAGTAATCCTAAAAGGTGGATACTGTGTATCCTTTGTTAATGATATGGGACTGACTGTGAAACAAAATATTCAACACCCATGATAATAATCTTTTTTCTTTGTCTCTTTTTTTTTTGGGGGGGGGGTTCGAGACAGGGTTTCTCTGTATAGCCCTGGCTGTCCTGGAACTCACTCTGTAGACCAGGCTGGCCTCGAACTCAGAAATCTGCCTGCCTCTGCCTCCCAAGTGCTGGGATTAAAGGCGTGTGCCACCACTGCCCGGCCATGATAATAATCTGTACATGAATTAGAATATGGAAAAGAAATTTCTCTAATGAGGCTTTAAATATATATGAGTTATAATCCAGATGTGATGTTGCATCTCTGTGACCTCAGCAATTGAAAGGCTGCGGCAGAATCATAGAATGGGATGCACAGCAAGAATTCACCCGACTCTCTAATATTTGTGTACACACACACACATACACACTCACACTCGCACACCATAACCACAGCAGCTCATAGCTGCTTACAACTGCAGCTCCAGGGACACAAAGCTTCTGGCAAGTAAGACAAGAAAAGATCAGTGTTATTTACTTTTTGCATTTTGTTTTTGGTTTGTGAAAGATCCATTGGCCCCAACTGTTTAATGTTTTAGTTGTGTATGTGCTTAGCCTCGGCTATCCTGGAACTAGTTCTGAGACCAGGCTGGCCTTGTCTCTTGTGACTGCTTCCTGGGTGCTAGGAATAAAGGCTTGCCCTACCGCCTCCTGGCAGCCCTACCAGCTATACTTTCACTCATTACTCATAATTTCATCCAATTATGCTAATCAAAAAAGAAAATTTCCCAACAATCAGGTGTACATTTGGTATCTTCTTTTTGTTTCCTTTTGTTTCAAGACAGGGTTTCTTGTGTAGCCCTGGCTGTCCTGGAACTCACTCTGTACGCCAGGCCTCCTGGAACTCATAGTGATCTGACTGCCTCTGCCTCTGGAGTGCTGGGCTCAAAGGTGTGCACCACCTGGCACATTTCTGTATTTTCAACTGGACAGTGATGAGTAATTTTATATATACATGTTTCCTAACCTACTGTATGTACATTTTCCATTCTACTTCCATTTGATATACTTTTCCATTTCACACATGACTTAATAATGGCCAGTTATAATTGTGAACGTATTTCCCTCAGAGAAACAGTTTGTGACCAAAGTGCTTCTCTTATTTTTGCTTCCTGAATTGAATTTTGGAAGGGAGGGCTAGGGATGGGTGAAGAGGGTAAACTATAAACAATCTACTATACTGTGTGTTTGGAACATTTTGATTGAAGGTGGACAGGAAATGTCCACCTTTTGATTTGGAGGACAGGAAATGTCCTCCAAATATGGAAAACCACATTAAAAGTAACAATCACATCTTCTTTTCCCTATTTTGTATTTTTAGACAGGTCTCAAAAAACCTGTATAGGCTTGGCTGTCCTGCAATCACTCTGTAGACCAGGCTGGTCTTGAAATGAGATATCTGCATGGCTCAGCTTTCCCTATCATTTTTTTTTAATCCCTGACATTATTTTTCCTAATTAATTTCAAAACTCTTAACAATTGTCTACCGCCACTAAAATACAAGCCCTAAGATAGTTGGTATTCTTTATTTACCTTTTAGTACAGACATAAACCCAGTAGGTAGTTCTACAGTGATTAAATAGCCAACAGAGAGTGAGTCTTTGGGCTTCACAGATTGCCAGGTGGTTAATGTAGCTGACTACCCTTGCACAGCAACTGTGAGTGCAGTTCCCAGCTCACAGTTGCCTGTAACTGCAGCTCCAGGAGGCCATCCAAAGCTGCTAGCAAGCATATGCCCACACACATACACATAACTAAAAATATAATAAATCATACATACACATACCCCACAATTTTAAAAAACATTATTACTAAAGAGAAAATGGTTCCTTTAAAAATCATAGAAATACACAAGCCCAAAGTTGTCCATTCCCACCTCCAGTTTATTGTTTCATACAAACATAATTACATCCAATGAAAAGAGGAAAGGATTTTCTCTACAACAAAGTAACAACTACCTTTTCAAGATCTTTTACACATATAAATGCAGTACATACAAGGTTCAACCCAAACATACTGCTTTTTTCGGTCATAAACAAACAGCTAAAAGTATTTAAAATTAATAAATGCTACACTTTACTTTGTCATACCTACATACCTTTACAGATTCTACTTTGCTGAATTTTCAGAAATGTCATGCAAACAGATACTCTCCCAGGAATGTTTTTTTTCTTTTACTTTTTTGTTGTTTCTCCTAAAACAATATCTCCTGTATATGAGGCTGGCCCCAAACTTAGCTATATATAAGGAAAACTGGCCCTGAATTGAATCTCTTGCCTCTATCTCCCAAGTGCTGGAATTACAAGCATGTGCACTTTGCCTAGCTCCTAGGAATGTTTTGAAATCAATCTGCCACATAATAATAATAAATAATATAAATAAAAACTACTTTATAAAACACCCTTCCCACAAGCAAACTTTCAAAGTGCTCACAAATTTTGATTTTACAACAATCTTACAAGGCACGAATAAAACTTAAAACACCTTCAATCAAAATGTTCCAAACACACAGTATAGTAGATTGTTTACTATAGTTTACCCCCTTCACCCATCCCTAGCCCTCCCTTCCAAAATTCAATTCAGGAAGCAAAAATAAGAGAAGCACTTTGGTCACAAACTGTTTCTCTGAGGGAAATACGTTCACAATTATAACGACATTATTAAGTCATGTGGGAAAGGAAATTAGCCACTGAACCATTCCATTATCCAGTAGAACAAAATGTTTACCTTAAAAATAGTTCCATTTCCAAGACAGTACTCAAATAGCAGTGTTTGTAGAGACATAAATGTCTCCTCTGTTCACATGAATATAAATTTGTAGAAATTTAGACTTAGAAATAATTCTACAAATTATGAAGATCAAAGTTATTTTATATAAAATTAAGAAAACTTGAAGGACAGGTGACCTGCTCTATGTCACTAACTAGAGACTTGGGTTATAAAGTAACTGTGAAACTTATTTTCTTTAAAGTCTTTCCCAGAGTTAAAAATTCTATGTAGAGCATTAGTCCCACAAAAGTGTCACAAAAATTATATATAACATCTACATGATTTTCACAAAACTCTTATATAGTACAAAGTATATTACATGTTAAAATACAGAAAAGAGTCAATAGAACTTAAATACAGTAGAAACTCTACACAGAACTGAGTTATGTAGAGAAATAGGACAGCTTAAAAGTGAGTTCTTCCTATGGTCAGGGAAGGGGATTTGCCCAGCAGTAAATTTTGTTCTTTATTGTAAGGGCAAAAGTTTTGAATGTACAGATATTCATACAAATGAGACATTATAACTAATTCTAGTAGCTTTTGAAAATTAAAACTATTAACCTGGTGACTGCTTGAAAAAAAATGCATACATAGGCAATTCAAAACAAAAAAAAAGGGCCCAGATATAATCTCAGTGCTCAAGAATTGAGGCAAATTTGAGGCCAGCCTGGGCTACACAGATAATACAAAATACTACTACACAAAAGTAAAATAAGAGAGTAAAAAAGTAATGACTTGCTAATATACACATAAATCAAGCTCAATGGCATTATGTTGGGTTAAAAACTATCAAAAGGGAACACAAAATTCCAGTTTTATATCACCACAGATGAAGAACTCTTAGTAGAATTTAGAGTTGGAAGGGGTGAACTATAAAAGAGCAGCATAAGAGGATTTTGGAATCTGATAGAATTATTCTGTGTCCTAATTGCAGACAACTAGATATGAATTAAATTTGTAGAAATGTAATTCCATAGAGAAGGTCAATTTTAGTGCATGTAAGCCAAAACAACAACAACAAAAAAGAAACCTTAAGTAAACAGTACAATAATGTCTTTGATGAAAGTGGAATATTTGAGAAAAGTAACTTGCCAATCTATGCCAAGAAAATACTTGCATTGGCCACTATGTTAATCCAACTATGTTATATATAATGACTTGCTAATATACACATAAATCAAGCTCAATGGCATTATGTTGGGTTAAAAACTATCAAAAGGGAACACAAAATTCCAGTTTTATATCACCACAGATTAGAACAAGTTATATTGATGAAGAACTCTTAGTAGAATTTAGAGTTGGAAGGGGTGAAAGGGCCTAATTATATTCTGTTGGACATTTAAGTAATGCAATTCTAAGGACATTCTGCTGGCCTCATGTGAATCTGAACTGTGCTCCTTTAGTTGATGTTCTGGTTAAAACTCAAGAACACTGGTTAAATTTTAAAAAATTGCTAGTCCTATCTGCTTTTAAGATTAATAGTGATGTGCAATACTATGCTTTCAAGTCTATTTTCTTGTCATCTCACCTCATTAAAGTTCTATATAGTTGGACATTAAATTACTCATCTAAAAACTACAAATCAGAATCTGCAATTACTGAACAGAGGACTAATACATAATATTTGAGACAACGTAGAATCTCATAAACTTAATCACACCACTCACAACTTTGGAATTATTAGAAGTTCAGAATGAATAACAAGTAAGAACAAAAACAAATTATACAGATTGGGGGGGAAGGTGACACACTACAAATGCTGCATTTTTATAAACAAATATGTCTAACAAAGAGATTCTGTTTACTTCAAAAGTCATTGATTTGATCACAGTAGACTCTGCCGTTTGAGATCAGGCCTAGATAGCTTTTCACTGCTGCTCCTGCCATGAACAGAGGTTAAGTGCTTTTTGAGAGCAGATTTGTGTTTGAAATCCATATCACAACAATGGCATTTATATGGCCGGTCCCCACTGTGTATGTTCAAGTGGTCCTGAAGTGTGCTTTTAGCAGTAAAGGTCTTCAAACACACAGTACACTGGAAGGGCCGTATACCCATGTGTCCTCGAATGTGCCGATTAAGATTTTTCTTTTGTGTAAATGTTTTCCCACACTGCAAGCACAAAAAGAGTTTATGCATCTTAAGATGCCGCAGATAGTTTTCTACATGAAGAAAGCCCCGCGGACACCTGGGGCACTGGTGCCTCAAGGAAAAATTCTCATCCAAATTCTGAATCTCATTTACCGTACCATGACTTCCATCAGAATTCTCAGAAAATAACCCTTGATTTGTATTTCCAGGAACTTCTGTCATTCTGTTCTCAACTGTTGAATTGATCAACGAATGCTGTGTTTCAGGGAAATACATGCCTGCTTTGGATGAGGTACAAGGCTGTGAAAACTGCCCATTTTCCACATCATCTGTATTGATGGATTCTACATGGAGGATACAAATTTCATTCTCTTTAAAGCCACCATCTACTGTTGAGAGCTCTGGTGACTGGAGTCCCCTTCGCTCTGATGTCAGTGTCTCTGCAGCAGATTGTAATGGATTGCTTTCTTCCTCTTTGACATGGAAATCTAGGTTTATAGGACTATCTTCTGAAATTTCAATGATCTCACAGTCTTTATCAGAATTTTCTTCTTCATTCTTAACATCTGTATCTGAAGATTGACACAAGTCAGTGTGTTGGTTATTTTTCATAGAAAGATCAATCTCCAAATACTTTGACAAAGCTTCTGTGCATTTCTCTACAATGTGAACCATCTGAAGGTAACTGGCCGCAGTCAAGTATTTCAAAAGCTCTTTTCTTTTTACTTCAAGCGCTCCAGTATAGCAGGACAACAGCAACTTCCTGCCGACTTCTGCACTCTGTAGAATGGTGATTCTGACATGTTTTGACTGTGTGAGTAAAAACTGATCTCTCATGAAAGTGGAGCAAGCAGCCAAAATCACCTTGTGCCCCTGGAACTCAGTATCATTAATATAAATCGATACATCACAGAATAAATTCTGCTGTCTTAAGAGATTCATTTTCTGTAGGACCACATCTCCTTGCTGTTCAAACTGAAAGTGTAGAACATCAGACTCCGCAGCCATGGCCACAATCTATACAAAACAGAGCACAATCATTGATATAGGATAGGCAATGCTTTATGATACAGGGTCCCCTACTTCCCAACATGTATTGGGAAAAATGAAGACCCAAACTCTACTTTGAGTGCTAGGAGTGAAACTGTTCCCAAATCACCATCTATAAATCCAGAAACTCATAATCCATTTCTGTATCATGATACGCAAGTTTTTAAATACCAGTAATTGGTGGTGACACCAAAAAGTACATTTAACCCCTTAACTTAGAAAATGCAATCTTCAAATTGTCCCACCACTATTGCTAGTCCCCAGCCTTGGCCATTGTATTGACTTCCAACAGGTGGTCTAGCAAAGCACTCTTTAAATATTCTGAATTATCTTCTTAAATTCCCATCCAAATTAACATTATGATTAAAAATAAGGAGGAAAGAAAAAAGTGCTCTTATGATTAAATTGTCCATCATCTCCCCCACTTCCTAGGCAGCCTTTCCTTCTTAAAAAGAACGCAAGCTCTTTCAGGATTTCACCCTAACCCACCTTTTATAGATTGATCTTGGTCCGTTTTTCATACACCCAGCTCCTTAATGTTAAATTGTTCATCACTATGCATCTAAAACACAGGAACATCCATTTACTATCTATTACATTCACCCTTTCAGCTCCATTTCCCAACTCGTGCTTTAGCTCCGTTGAGCCCAAAACAGAGACTAACGTGATTCGCAGGTTATCTTTTCCTCCTGATTCTGTGTTCACCCAGTGAGCACAGGAGCCCACACAGCAGGAGGAGCTGACAGGAATCCTAGACCGCCTGCCTGCCAACTCCCTCCAACAAGGCACACGGTTCCCACGTCAGGGGAAGTCAGGGCCCGACCGGCCAGGCGGGTGCGGAGCCTAGCTGGAGCTGAGGCCACAGCGAGGTGTACTCCCACGCGGCGTTGTCCTTCAGCCTCAATCCCTGGCAACTCTCCGTCACTTTCACTTACCGACTAGCAAAACTGGCTTTGAGGCTTCCGCGGCAACGGCAGCCCAGGCCGGAAGATGGACTTAGCCTGGAAGGAAACGCTTCCGGAGTCAACCAGCTTTATTCTTTACGGAGGTTGTCTGGACGCCCCGGAAGAACATCCTGAGATGCTCTTTCTTCCTTACTTTTTCCGCTGCAAGGAAGACAGAAAAACGCCTGAACGCCTGTGAGCCGGGTCTTTTCTGGCCGTTCCTACTCCGTTGTGAAGCTGGTAACGGCGAGTGAAGAACGCTCAGGACTGGAACCGCCAAGGTGTTGAGGAGAAGCCGAAGGAAAGGACATGGGGCTCTGTAGCTGGGCTACTCAAAAGTCCCATCAGAACCTGGCCCCAACCTCTGTACACAGCTCCACCACTCTATTTGCCCTCCCCTCTTTCCAATGGCATCCTCTTCACCCTGCTGCTTTAAACAGCCTATCGCTCTAAATGCCACCATGTGCCCTGCCTCTTAAAGGATTCTTCTCTTTGTGTGATGGGAATTAAACACATGGGGCTTTATGAAAGTAAATACTTTCCTTCCCGATTACCCTTTGTCGGCGATTCCTCTAGGTTCCGCCCAACAGCTACCGAGCAACAGCTTGCATAGCCACCTGCCAGGTAGGAGATAACCTGGCCTATAAGGGCCGCTTTGCCTCTTTCTCCACTCTCCATTCTCTTCCCCAGGTCTTCCCGCAGGGCTCTACCTCTTTCTAGCCTTCTCTGACCCCCTCCTTTCTCTGCCTCTACCCCTTTTCCAGGTCCACTTCCCTTCCCCCAATAAACTTCCTTTTGTACTAGGCCTGTCTCATGGTGGTGATTCCTCGGGGGAATACCTTGGCTGGTTACAAAACACAACATACTTCAATACCAGTTTATACTGATTACACATTATTTCTAAGTTGCACCTTAATTAGTTGGGATCTAGTTGGAAATGATTTATCTTCAAAACTGTACTTCATACTCACGTCGAAGTATATGCCAGACCAAAGGAGGGGGATTATTTAGGACATATTTACCTTTCTTTGCATTCTCAGAATTTATCATTCATTAAGTCCCTATTTGCGAAGGGTAGGGATGGCTGACGATTTTTTTGTGCCCGTTGCCTGGAACAAAGCCTGGGCCTCTAAAATGCTAGCCAAGGGGAAACACTACTACTGAGCTGTATTTTCTGCCCTTTGCCATCCTTAAGATGTGTTTTAAAGAATTTAAATTTAAACAACTGAGAGATAAGGAGGGAAGAGAGTAGAAAAATAAGTCAATGACACCACAGGTTAATTGTCAAACTTTTATTAAGGAAACTTCCCCATTAAGTAAAGAGGTAGTTCAAAGTATGTCTAACATACAACAGATTTAGAACAGCCATTCATGAGCTGAAATAAAATGTTCTAAGTTGTTTGTTTAGGGCAATATCGTAGAAATGGTGACATTAGTCACCTTTCACTTACACATCTTCTAAACTAATGCAAAATCACACCTGATTTACCTCAGAGCCACTTCAGTTTGGAGTTTGTTTTCATATTAAATAATAAATAAATAACAGTAATTTAAAAACAACAACAACAAAAAAAAAACAAGCTACAGTAAAGAGAGTCCTCTTCCTTTTGAGGTTTTCCTAGGAATCCATACAGCACAAACACTGAGGCTGGCATGGTGGCATATACCTGTGATCCCAGCACTTGGGAGGCAGAGGCAGCAAAGGCTACAAAGTAAGATCCTACCTCAAAAAAAAAAAAAAAAAAAATCAAACAAAATGCTGAAAAACTAAGGTTTACCCCTGCCCCATATAATCACTAGTATGAAAAGCCTTCTTCCACAATAAACTATACGTGCCTTCTCTTTGCTTTAAAATCTGAGAAACATGTTAGCAAAGAACCCAAGTCCCACCAAAATTAAATATCTCACACAAAAATAAGACCTCTCCAGCCAAGAAATGGATGAGATCAAAAATTAGGTAAGTGGTCTGCACTTGCAAACAGAACCAAAAATTTTACTAACAGAAAATCCTAAAAGGCCAACTTTAAGTCAGTGGTTCTCAACTTTCCTAATACTGTGATATCCTTTAATACAGTTCCTCATGTTGTGGTGACCCCAACCATAAAGTGATTTTTGTTATTTTATAACTGCATTTTTGCTACTCTTATGAATCATAATGTAAATAAATCATAATGTAAACAAAAAATTCCTATGGTATTAGGCAACCTCTGTGAAAAGGTCATTTGACCCCCCCCACCCCCAAAGGGGTCACAACCCATAGGTTGAGAACCACTGCTTTAAATGCTGAAAGAAAACAAGGCAATTTTATTCTTATTGGAACATAAGTTGAGACCTCATCTCACTAAAATCACTTGGCTTGGCTCCTAAGCCCTATAAAGACAGGGACCATATCACTCTTACCTTCCTATCCTCAGAATATAACCTAGTACCTGCGGATTCCAGTTGGTTACTAGTATTTCTTGAGGCTGTGGGAGAAGCTCAGTGCTTAACATGCATGAAGGCTTGGGTTCAAACGCCCCAGCATTGTAAAAAAGGGCAAAAAAAAAAAAAAGTCTTCTGAGTAACAAATTGAATCAAGAAATAGCCTCCAACCAACCAGAGAGACCAGTATTATTTGAACCCATGCTGTTTTTAGTCTTCAAACTACTAACAGTAACTGGACATGAATAAATGTATGGAACACCATCTTCAAATGATGTTTAGAAAAAATATTTAGAACGGGATGAATAGAGTCCCATTGTTGCATAGAATTGGTGCTCTTTGGATGAATCATGCAAAATTCAGGATGCGAGAAGGAGTCATTAGGCCGTACACTGAGTGATGTTGGGTATAAAGTACCTAGCAGTCATATTAGCTGACTGTACTCATATTTAAATATTTAGTAGAAATTATACCTCAAATCTGAGTCATGTGTAAATATATCAAATTATGTTTATATATAAATTTATTTTAATTTTTGGATTATCTGTCCATGTACTCTCATAGCTTAAAAATTAAAAACAAAATTCTGGCGGAAATAAAGTTTCTTAGACAAAATCAGTATCATATTTGGACCATTTTCACATTATGCTAACTTGCCCTTTCCTTAATAGCCTTAAACCAGTCAGTCATTTAGAAATAGTGTAATATTCATCTAGCAAAAAAACAATTAACAGGTTAGAGCGGTATCTAGGTGGTACAGTGCTTATCTAGTGCCTATGAGACACTGGGTTCGAATTCTAGCAACAATACCATAAAATAATTATATTTATTTAGGTCTTTTGAAGGAGGCCCTCACTCTATAGCCCAGGCAACCTGTATAGCCCTCCTGTAACTTTGTAAATTCTGAGCTTACAGGCACAAACCAGCAAAATAAAATAAAGTTAAAAAAGTAATTCTCACAAGTCCTTCTGTGACATTTTGTGGGTAAATTCTTGGCTGTCTCTGAAAACCAAAAGGGACGAATATTTAATAGTGAAACAAAATCTGTTAATGTGTTATTATTCCCCATATATTAAAGACAAGGTATGTTGGAAGAGACGTATTGGGGATAATCATTCATATTTTGTCAGATGTATTTGGGCCAATGGTGGCCAGGCTGTTTGATTCTAAATGCCACTATTTAAAACAACAGAGATAGTGTAAGCAATCTTTTGAGAGTTTCTAAGATCTCTAGCAATCCTATAACCTCACTGTAACCCTTGAGTAAGAAGCAGGCTCAAACTAATGTCTAAAATTTACTTCAGGATAAAGAATTGTTTTTTCCATTCTTCAAGATCAACTATCAAAGGTAGCAAAAGTGGACAGTGTATTATGTACCTCTAAGACTATCTAAATGCAAAAGTTTTGGTAGTTCCTCTGTAGCCCATTTAATTTTTTTCATTGATTTCCAAGATGAAGGGTACAAGTGAAAAGGAAAGACTGGAGACAAAACTCTATACTGGACAAGTTATGGCCAAATGCACCTTTCTTATGTATAAATTGATAAATCGTTTAGACTCCAACATAGGCCATTATTCTTTAGCTCACTTGAGTATGCCTAAAGCACTTCCAATTACAAAAGCATCAACAGGATACATATGTAAGCAGATGGCCTCTTGTTAGGTCATACTATTTAGGAAACCTTCCATGTACCCACCCTTGTTTTATTATATTTCTATCATTTACTGATTATCCTCCTCATGGCAGTCGCTTTTTGTCTGCAGAAGCTGCTGAAAAAATTGTATTCTGGGTTTTAAGGAAAGTTCAATGGGCAGTTAGTGTTTAAAGTACAAACCCACACACTCCTCCACAGCAGCTCCAAAAAAGTACAAATGGCAGGAAGCAGATTCACTCATCAGCCTTGGATGAATCACAGTAGACAAACAGAAACTCTATCACATATTTAGGTCAACAGCAGTATCACCTCCTATCCCAGCCTCATTTTCCCCCAAGGAAAAGTATTAACTTTCCTAAACACAGTTTATTAGTAGGAAGTAAATAATGTTATTTGTTGGTACCTTTAGAATGTGCTTGGTAAAAATTTAAAATAGCGTCAGTCTAAGACATATATGAACACTAGGTAGACAAATGGAATTATTCCTTAGAAAAGGAAAACAGACATCACAGGTTAAATAACTCAAAAAAGAACCAGGAGAGGGCTAAAGGAAAGCAAAGCCACCACAAGTGGGAGTCACCTAGTCTGCTAGTGCTCCAATTCACTCACTACCACCTGCTTGGAGGCTTTGTAGAAGAAACTACCAAGTGATTTCTAAAAAGACTCAGTGACCATTGCCATACTCTGTCAGCTCTCACTGTGAGCACTATGCCCTGTTCAATTTACACATGTACTGTCACTCCTTAAGCTGAGGACAGCTTGGGTCAGTTTACCTGCATCCAGGACCTGTGTTGCATCAGGTTGTGGCTGACAATTAGAGTCTGTGACTGTTGTACATGCAAAAGAGTCAAAATCCACTGTGAGGTCTTGTACACTCCTCTCATTGGCATTATCAAAGCTGTTTTTGCCATGCAGCTGTTTAAGGTGTTTCCTCAAAACTGGCTTATGTGCAAAAACCATGTCACAATAGTTACATTTATGGGGCTTATCTCCACTGTGAAGGTTAAGATGGTCCTGTAAGGAACACTTCTGAGAAAAGGTTTTCCCACAGATTTTACACTGGAAAGGTTTAATTCCGGCATGTACACGCATGTGTCGATGAAGATTGCCTTTCTGAGTGAAAGTCTTGCCGCAGAGTAGACACATAAAGAGTTTGTGCATTTTTAAATGGTTGGCGTAGTTCTCCAGGTGACGGAATACCCTGGTACACTTTGGGCATTGGTGATGCCACTGTAAGCCTTTGTCTACACCTCGAATATTAGGCCCAAAGACATCTTTTGAGGTCATGATGATGTCATCATTGCCAGTGTAAGAGAGGGCATAATTGTGGAGATGGCTCTGGTCTAGTTCATTAACTCTGTTTTCCACAGTTGAGTTTATCAGGGAGTGCTGGGGCTCTGATGAATGTAAAGCAGTGGGTTCAGAAGAAATGTACTGGTTCTGATCTTTTTTACTTCTATCCTCTGATACATCCCCAATAGATTCTACCTTAACAATCTGTATATCACTGTCCTCCATATCCATACTGTCTTCAGATGGATGAATACAAGGTAAGTCCTGTTTTGGAGAGCCTCTGGCATCTCCCTGCTGTTCTTTCGACTGGGGAGAAGCACTCTGTGGTTCAGATCCCTCTTTACTATCCATTGGTTGTTTTGGCTTTATAAACTTCCACAGCGCCTGTGTGCACCGTTCTACAATGTGGCTCATCTGAAGAAAACTTGCAGCAGTCAAGTAATTTACCAGTTCCATCTCAGGGAATTCCAGCACACCACTATAACAGGACAAGAGCAATTGTCTCCCCACTTCAGAACTTTGTAATATGGAGATTTTCACCTCTCGGGAATCATTCAGTAAAAACTGGTCTCTTAAGAAGGGGGAACCTGCAGCAAAAACAATTTTATGTCCCTGCACCTCAACATCATCTATGAGAACTGTAACATCACAAAATTTATTCTCTTCTCTTAATTTGTTCATTTTTTGTAACATTGAATCTCCATAATTTTCAAACTTGAAGTGAAGGAGATCTGATCTTTCAGACATTTTGGCAGACCTAAAGGACAGAAATGTAAAAAAAGGTGGAATGTAAAAAAATTTAAACAATTTAGAAACCTGGATTTACCTTTCAAAACCAAATGTGTTGTCATGCTTGTTTGTATGTCTCCAAAAAGCTAGGATAATAGCTTGCAATGGCTGTTAAAAGTTATTTCTTACCATTATCAGGTGCCAACTGTACACAAGGAATAGGTATATAAAAGTGTAAATAACTGGGCATTCCCTCAATCTTTTAAGACACTTAAGAATAATGCTTGAGTTAGTCCAAAAACTTTATTTTTCACTATCAAATGAGAATTCTATTGAAACAAAAACAAAAGAACCCAAGTAACAAGAAGACATTATTTCTTTTACATAAAACATGTTTCACCTGCTTTATCCTAAAACAACTGCTTTGTTTTCCTTTGTTTCCTATTGTTATTTGCTTGTTTGTTTGTTTTGCTATATATGTGTATGTTTATAGCTGTTTTGCCTGTATGTGTATCTGTGTGCCATATGTGTATCCCCAGAGGCCAGAAGAAGGTGTCAGATAAACTGGAACTGGAGTTACATATGGTTTTGGGCTGCTATGTAGATACTGGGAATTGAACTGGAATCTTCTGGAAAAAACAGCAGGTGTTCTTAAATACTAAGCTCTCTCTCTAGCCCCTTGTTTTCTATTTTAAAGAGTCTACAGGGATATTGCTTACTGAGAACCACCCCCCTTTTTGGCATATTTATTCATATAACCACTTCTGTGATAAAAGTCACAGATTTAAAAAGACAGTTTTAGTCATTGACAAACACAATTCTTTATCCTGTGCATTATGGATAAATCTAAATCTTCTTATAAGAAACATTTGTTTATAAATGGAGAATAAAACAATGACCCAATCTGTGGGGGTATGTGTGGGAATAAGGGAGAGATTCAGTTACTTATTAGATTGTTCTTTCCTTCCTACCCCTTGTATCTGTCATTTTTCACCAGTAAAGTACTAGAATTGATTCCTAAACGTTCTCCTTGGTATCTAGCTCCTCTTCTCTCAAACAGCACATTTCAAAAAATACTAGGCTAGCCTCTTGGTTATAAGTCAATTAACTAAAACTAATAAAGGTAAATAATGGTATAATACAATCAACACAGAAGTGCTTCTGCATAGGGTTGAGAACACATATAGTTTAGCAGAAGATAATTTGCCTCGCCACATGTGAAGCCCTGGGTTCAATCCACAACATTGTTAAAAATGCAAAGGAAGAATTAGCCACACCAACACCGTAATTCCAGTCTACTAACCACTAAAAGTAACTGGCAATCTCTTTATATAAATCCATCTTCTATCAGGTCAATAGGTATGTCAGTTCTGTCTTTGAGAAACAGTTCTATAAACTTAGTATGTTAAGAAATCCAGCTTGTAGCAGAGCGGTGGTGGCACACGCCTTTAATCCCAGCACTTGGGAGGGAGAGGCTAGTTTACAGAGTGAGTTCCAGGACAGCCAGAGCTACACAGAGAAACCGTCTCAAAAAAAAAAAAAAAAAAACCAAAAAAAAAAAAAAAAGAAAGAAAAAAAGAAAGAAAGAAAGAAAGAAAGAAAGAAAGAAAGAAAGAAAGAAAAAAGAAATCCAGCTTGAATTTTGTATTCTCAACAGTTCCTTCCTCATAGTCAAGTGAGATAACCAGCTTTTCCTGGTCAAATCTAGATTTTCTTTTTCTTGAGGCAAGGTTTCTCTATGTAGCCCCAGCTGTCCTGGAACTCACTCTGTAGACCAGGCTAGTCTAGAACTCACAGAGATCCACCTGCCTCTGACTCCTGAGTGTTGGGATTAAAGGCATACTTGTATCATTATGCCTGGTATCACATCTAGATTCTGAAGCACAAAATTCACAATCTTAATTTTTCACAGAGTTATCAGCTCCTGATGACAAGAGTCCAGATGTTATTCTTATTCCTCTGTGACAGGTATACAATGTATCTACTTGCTCTAAGCTTGTCACCCATTACACTACTCTAGAACACTGCATTCTAGCCAGCCTAGCTCTCTAGTTCTGAGAGGCCCTTGTCTGTCCACTTAGAGAAAAGAGCTGTCTCTAGGGCTATCAGCACAGTACTTCTATATAACATTTACACTGCTTCATCAAATACTTCCTTCCTGTCTGAACTACAAATTCCCTGGCATTAGGGGGCAACTTCCATATCATATTTCTCTTCTATTCAAACTGGTGCAGACTATTATCACTTAATACCACACCAATCACACAGGAAAGCTCAGTATGCAGTAGTTGAGCCTATAGTGTTAGGTTCACAATAAAAATAACCTGTTATGTAGAGCAGATTAATACCTATGGAAGCATTACAGGTTTGGGGCCACAAGGGCCTAGAAATAGTATTAAGAAACAAGCAAAAAAAATAGTAACAGGTATTTCAGAGACCTTGATAATTGATCCTGAAAAGAACATTAAAAACAAAAACAAAACCTCAAGCTGGGCCTGAAGGCACGAACCTATGCACACAGTACCCAGAGGCTGAGGGGGTTAGAATTCAAGTTCCAGGCCAGCCTGAGCTACATAGTGAGATCCTACCTCAACAACAACAACAACAAAAATCCTAAATCTCATAGTTTAGCTGAATGTTGCAGAAAGAAGTAAACTTTACAGGGTGGGGCACACGCATGTTAATAATCACAAAGTGTAACTTTTTCTCCTATGTGGCATTCTAAATGCAAAGAAGTGAATGTGGCAGAGAATTCAATGAGTTTCAAACACTGGGAATATTATCAGTATTTTGAGCAGCCAAACTATATTACCACTGGTCAGTTTTAGTGGCAGAGCTTTAAAATATTCATTCTGCAACTGCAACAATGAATGTTGAAAATGTTGAATGTTCCAGTTTAGCCAGAAATAATAAAAATGACCATTATGTCAAGTGGCCAAACAAAAGTGCCATTCTTTTTTTTAGAGTTGAGCCAATCTTGAATTCATTAAGCTGATCAGTATTTTCCTAGTCACAGTCAAAAGTGAACATTGTTTTCAGCTAGAGTGAGGTAGCACTCAGAATGTTTTATGACAAACGTATTCAGTTTGGAAACTCGTCCCTTGTTTCTCTACAGATGAACTAGAGTTCAGTTTCCCTCATATCCCACTCGTGAATTCTCCAGAAACTTATCAACAGGAGCAGCCAAAGAGTGTCTCAAAAAAAAAAGCCTGCTTCTTAATCTTTCTGCTGCAGTCCAAAAAAGTTAGGTAAGTTTGTTGTTTATTTTAGGAAGCTTTTCCTAATATCTATCATCCCAATTATCCCTCTAATAATCTAGTCCTAGGTCACACACTTTAGCCATTAGTTATTTCCTGTCACTAGTCTCCTTTCCCAAGAGGACAAGGATCAACTGTCTATTACACTTTATACAACTCATTCAACAAAACACACCATTACAGTGACTACTTGATATTCACTGTGAAATTATTGATGGCATAATAGAGATGAATTTCAATATCAAAATATCTGCTTTTGAAGATCTTGAAAACTCTTTAGACCATGTAGGACCAAATCTGCAATACCATTTTTTTTTTTAAAAAAAGAAAAAAATTCTATTAAATAATTAATTGTAGACTATGTAATAGACTGTGTGTACTTAGTATGTATGGAATCCTAGGTCTAATTCCACCACCATATGTATTTGCACAATATATAATATAAAAGTAAATGCATATGTACACACACTCAAACAATACAAAAATATAATAATCATCTAATAGGATTAATTCCTTCTACAAAATAATACCTAATTTCTGTTGAATTCGTGTCATATTCCAAATATACTCCTAGATGCTTTATCTAAATTAATTCACATAGTCCTAAACATTTCTACTGATAGGTTATTATTACCCATATTCTGCCTATAGGAAAATGAAGCTGAGAGAATATATTAATAATATGGTTCAATTAAAAGAGACACAAAATGCTGCTAGTTGGGTAGTGGTGGCGTACACCTTCAATCCTAGCACTCAGGAGGAAGAGGCAAGTGGATCTCTGTGAGTTTGAAGCCACCCTGATGTACAGAGTGAGTTCCAGGACAACCAGAGCTACAGAGAAAAACCCTGATTCAGAAAAAAAAAAAAAAAGAAGAAGCAAAAAGCAAAAAACAAAAACAAGAAAAAAAAAAGAAAATGCTAATTGTTAGAGCTGAAACTTGTGCTCAAGTTACAAATCAATATAAGAAAGAATGGGAGCATTATATTATGATCTGTAGACTTTAGACTTTTGTGGTTTTTAGTTATACTTCAGCAAAATATTTAAATCTAAATGTAAAAAGTTCAAATTAAAAGCAAATTTCTGTTAACTGCAGAGGACTAAAATGACAAGCCGCTTAGGTACTGACTAACACTGCTACAAGAACATTTATTCTTTACTTAGTCTCATGCCTTTATCCTACTATTACTGATCTCAGGTTTTATGATTTTTTTAAAGACTTATTTTGTTTTTTATTAATATGTATGTGTGTCTGTCTGCAAATATGTGTGTGTGTGTGTCTGTGTGTGTGTGTGTGTGCATGCAGGTGCCAATGGAGGTCAAAAGGGATCCCCTGGAGCTGCAGTTATAGGTGACTGTAAACCACAGGATATAGGTGCTGGGAACCAAACTCCAGGACTCAGCAAAAGGAGCAAGTACTCTTAACCACTGAGCCATCTTCTCAGCCTTAGGTTTATAGTCTTTTTTTTTTTTTTTTCCCGAGACAGGGTTTCTCTGTGTAGCCCTGGCTGTCCTGGAACTCACTCTGTAGATCAGGGTGGCCTCGAACTCAGAAATCCACCTGCCTCTGCCTCCCAAGTGCTGGGATTAAAGGCGTGCGCCACCACTGCCTGGCTCTTTTTTTTTTTTTTAAATTATTATTTTTCTGGTTTGTTTCTGAAGCATCACTAAATTGTGCAAAGGTAAATACAGTCTTAAAAGGTCTGGCTTTGATTTGTTGCTATGCTTTTGCCAGATTTAATTCCACAGAAAAGCCTGTCTCTTAGTTTCCTTTCTTCCCTATGGTAAGAATTCCTAAGTCCCTATCCTCATTACTGAATTTAACTAACTTTAATCTCAACTTAATATCCTAGGAAGTGCTGTTCTAGGTATTTAATATTTAAAAATGATGATGCTTATACTCTTGCACTAGCCAAAATTCAGCAATTTGAAGATAAGTATAGGGAAAGGCTAAGTGAATGGCCTTTACAATGCCATCATTTTAACATATCAAAACAGAAATGATGAGATTGTTACTATAGAGAGAAATTTTAAAAGGAATTTAATAAAAAGAACCAGCTAATCAATGATCTTGCTCATCAAGGTAAAGAACAAGAGAGAAATTATCAAAATAACTCTAAAATATTTGCCCTGAATGGCTGGATGTCTTTGTATGCCATTCAGTTAACCCAGAGATGACTAGAGGGGACGATCATGAGGCTGCTCATTACAATCCGTCAAAAGAGCCTTCATGGCACCAGGGCAGCTGGTTAGAAACACATGGAAAGATGTATAAGAAACCTCATTGAAATGCTAAGTGGATTGTAAGTGAAAACATTAGAGTACAAGAAGTACACCTAAGTTTCCATAAAGTGGAAGAGGACCTTAGGACAAAAGAAAGAAAAATCATATAAACAATATAACATGAACTCATCACTTACCTCTTCTCACCCTCACTATCCTTGCAGGTCTCCTTTCCTTTTAATCAAGAAGCCAACTTTTCCTAACCCACTCCTTGACTCCTATCTAGTCACAACACAGTACAGTGAACACAGCATGGACTCTGGAATCGTATGTCTAAGGTTAGAACTCTGCTCAGCCACTTACTCAGGGTTATGGCCATGGGTCAACTCCTTATCCAGTCTGTTTCAGGATTCTTTTCAACTAATAATAAATGGGGCTGCTAAGGCAAATTAAATACGCTCATCATTAAAGAAGACTTAATTGTTTTATGAATGTTTGCCTGCATGTATGTATGTGCACCACTTGCATGCCTGGTGCATGGAGGTCAGAAGGTATGAGATCCCCTGGAACTGGAATTATGATAGTTGTGAGACACCATGTGAGTTCTGGGAACAATAACCACTGAGTAATCTTTCCAGCCCATTAGTTCATTTTCAAAAGAGCCTAGAATGGTGCCTGTTATGTGCTCTTTCAACATGTGCTCAGTAAATAAACAAGTAAATCTTTCATGTTTCTCCAATTTAATATCAAACCAATTGAGGCCTCTGATATTTTATATTTTATTACCTTATCTACTAAAATTGCTTTTTACCAGTTCTGTTAACAAAAAAGATACTTTCCTTTTTTTCTTTCTCATTCCCCAGTAGCTGAGAATAATCTAATAGATTCTCTTCAAAATTCTCTCCTGATATCTAGGTCACCCTAGTTGCTTCAACCCTGTGTTCTTTTCTATCTCTTACTGTTGGCTCCAATTTGAGTTTCTGCTTCATTAATGTGGCCATCGTCCTTCAAATACCTTTTTTTTTTCAGTGCTCCCTCTATGATGCCAACTCTTCTCATTGCCCACATGCCATGAAGCCTAGGCTGATCTCCACATTTGCATTCCAAACTCTTACGCTGGACAGCTGTATGTGGCTATCCCTTTTAGACATAAATTCAAACACAAAAACTGAATTTTTAATTCTCTGTGGTTTTATTTCCGATTATGGCATTACTTCAAGTGTCAACTGCCTAAATTCTAAGACTTACTTTCTCTTCTCTTTCAATGTATAATTATCTATGACACATTAGCACTTGCCTCCTTTCTTGTAACAATACCGTAATTCTACTTTAGATTTTATTGCATCTCATCAGGACATTACTTTTTCAAAATAATCTCAAATATAAGTACCTAGATTTTAGCTAAAAGAACCCAGAGTCAGCTATTTCTATTCTATAGGCTTCCCAGAGAACAAAATCACTTCCCGAAATACAAATCTGGCCGTATCAGTTTCCTGCTCAAAGAGCTTCAAAAAGATAACCCATCTCCTTTAGAATTAATTAAACCTTTCACTATCTGGATTTCAACTTACTTATCCAATTCAAACTCCATCTTATGTACACAATCTCCCCATCCCTATTCCTTCTTCTCATAGTCTGTGACTTCTCAGTACCACTACAACTTTTCTTTTTTCGCGAAAAATACTTTCACACGTTCTCTTTAACAAGAAATAGGATTTAGAGGCCACTCTCTACAGGCTTCCCAGCAACTGTCCTTAGAGCAGTTGACGAAAGTAACCTATTGCATACCCTCCACCCTCATACGAGCATCAGTTTGTTCATATATATCGCTTTCAAACTTGAGATGAATACTGGATATTTGACGAACCTCCAGTGCATGGCATAGCACCAGTAATTTAAAAGGTGCTGTAACCCACGGCTGAGCAAGGGTAAAACCCATCAAAACCTGGCACTTACAGTAGTCTCGCGGTTGGCACTCAAGGCCTTGCGTTGGCTAGCTCCCGCCGTTCAGTTTTCTGCCGGCCTCAACTGCTACACTTTTTACAAAATGCCAGAGTCTGGCTTCCTGGCCAGCTACAGGGCCCTATGTAGAGGGTCCAAGGAGGCGGTCCCTGGGGCATCCTGAGACACCCCACTGCAGATTCGGGAAGGGGAAGAGGGTGGGATGCAGCATGGGCCAGTCCAATGGCTCAATAGTCCAGGGGCCTAGACCAGCTCCTTGGCTCCCATCCCATGGCAGGTTGCGGCCCATCCGGGTCTCCACGGGGGCTCCATTTCCAGAGACCCCGCACCCTAGCTCTCGGGTGGCCTCCGAACTTAGGAACTTACAGACCCGGGGGGAAGGCCGCCATTTAGATATTGGCAAAGCCAGGAGCTCCAGCCCCTCGGGGCTCCGGGAAGGGGGAGGGGCAGGCAACCTGAGCCAAAGGGGGACCCAACGGAACCGGAAGGGCAGCCCTGGCCGGACAAAGACAACTTCCAGGTCCCATGGTCATCTCCGCCAATCGGAATGCTCGGAGGACGACGGGCCCCCGAGAGGGACTTTCCGCGTTGTGGGCGGGGCGCGGGGGAGAGGCCGGGGAATCGGGCGGTGGAGGGTCCGCTCTGTAAGCTCCACAGCTGCGGTTCTTCCGTGGAAGGAGGGCCCGAGTTCTGTTCTTCGCCGCTGCAGTCACGAAGGGCTCCTGCCAACCGTTGCCTGCATGGGCCTGAGCAGCCTGTCTGCGAGCAAGCCGTGGTAAGTCCCTCCCGCCCAGGGATGTGGACTCGCTGCGTGGGAGCCTGGAATGCAGAAAGCTGTTGGGTCCCCTCCCTTGTGGATATTGGTGTTTCTTAGGAAATCTTCCTTTTGTGTTCCCAGGTCAATCTCTTGCCTTCCTTATCTTTGGGTACCTTAGCCGTTCACAAATCTGTCGTTAACCTTTCTTGAGCACCAGAGCCAGCCGCTTAGATCGATTTCCTGTTGTCCGGTGTTTAGTGTGCCTTTCTGTAACAAGTTCACGCCCAAGGCCTACCCAGCTATAGTTCTTGGTTAGTGACAGAATCATACGGGTCATCTTCCCAATGAGAAAAATCTGGAAATCATTCTGAATTCCCTTTGCTTTGCCAGTCCACTTGCTTATTGAGTTCTCTTCATTTATTTTATTTACCATTTGGTGGCATTATTATGGGAAACAGAAATAATGATCAATTTATTCTTTTACCAAGCTTAAAGCTTGTACAATGTTGTATAACCACTGCTAGCTATTCCCGCTCTTACTCCTTGTATTCTTTGCGGATATCCATTTTCCGTAATATCTGTTGAAAAGATGGACTTTTGCCCATTGAGTGGCCCTTTTAGAAATAAGTTCGCTTTATGAGAGTATTCTTGCTGGGGCATCTGCAGGACTGTGATCTACGTTCATCCTTGCGCTAGTACCACACTGCTTTAATAACCGTGACTTTGCAGGCAGTTTGGCATTTATTGTGAGTCCTCTATCTTTATTCAAGACTGTTTTGGTTCTTCAAGATGTTTTTCTCTTCTTTTTGAATTTAGTATCAGGAAATGGACCTACGGCTTTTCACGCTACACAAATACAGTACTACTGAGCTTCATCTTCAGCCCTACTTTTGTATTGATTTGAGGATTGACTACCATTTCTTGGGAAACGGCTTTTGAAACGTTTTTTGTTTTTTTTTTTAAATCTGAAGGTTGCTTTGAATAGTATTAAATTTTTTTTATGTCTTCCTGTCTATAAACACAAGATGCCTCTTCAGGTCTTTTATGTTAAATGTTTCCTTAGTTTTCTGCATTCTTGATTCATTCACACATTTTTATCAGGGTCTGCCTCCTTAATTTTCATAGTGCTTATTGCTAGTGTCTAAAAAATACATTTTTAAAAACCACTGCTTTTTTTTTTTATGTGTTTGCATAGTCCTTGCAATTCATTTATTAATTCGAGTAGCCCTCTTGTGGCCTTTTTTGATTTTTCTATTACATGTTGCTGTAGTCTATGAACAAAAATCATTTACTTCTTTTCCAACAGGATTTTTTTTTTTTTTGGTCTAATAGGGCAAACAGTTTTAATACAGTGTTGAACAGGAGTAGTAATAGAAAAGTAGAAGTGGCCATCCTTGTTTTATTCCTGATGTGAAGAGGAATTTTTTTGGCTTTAAGTTATTGCATATATATGTTTCACTATGAATTTTTCATAAATACCTTTATCGTGTTGAAGAATTTTTCTGCCAATTCTTAACTTTCTGCAGCATGCTGTCTTGAACAAATGCTATCTCTGCATCAGTTGAGATGACCACATGCCCCACTCCTGATACCAATGTATTTCTTTCATTTATTTTGTTGAGCCACTTTGCATCTCCATTTGGCTGAATCCTCCTTGGTCATGGTAAAATTCTTTTAATATGCTCTTGGATTTACTATGTTTATATTTTGTTGGTTATTTTTATATCTACTCTTTGGTAATACTGATCTACATTTTTATTTAGTTAGAATGAATTTGTCTGGTTTTCCTGTCCACAATGCTGGATGGACAGAATGTGTCAGGAAGCATTGATTCCTCAAATTTTTGCAAACTTTTCAGGAAAAAGAGCCTCTTTGTTCTTTCTTTAAATTTTTACTAGAACTCACTGATAAGACTGCACGATATGAGACTTTTCTTGTTGGGAGATTCTGATTGCTAAGACGGTCTCTTTACTTGGTATAGGGCTGAGATTTTTCTCTTCTTCAACCAGTTTAGGTTATTTATTGTTGAGAAGTGTGTCCTTTTCTTTTTTTGCTCTTTAATTTTTAATATATAATTATTTTAATAGTCTCATTTTTAAAACTTTTATAATGTTGATAATAATATATCCCTAGTTAAATTTCTTATAGTTATTTGTATATTGTCTCTGTTAGTCTGGCTAAAGGTTTGTCAGTTTTGTTGGTCTTTTTCAGAATTTTTGTCGACTTTTTTTCTTTGCTCCTTTTAACTGGCTTTTAATTTTTTAAAAAATTTTTGTGTTAGCTTTGGTTCTTTGTTTTGTTTCGTTTGAGACAGGGTCTCTTTTATAGCCTAGCTGGCTGTTATAGAACTCACTGTGTAAACCAGGCTGGCCTCAGACTCACAGAGATCCACCTCTGCCTTCCAAGTGCTGAGATTAAAGCCATTCACCACCATGCCTAGCTTGCTTGTATATATATGCGCGCACGCACACACACACACACACACACACACACACACATTGTTGTAGATCTTTTAAGTGTAAGGTTTAGGCTACTGATCTGAGTGTTTTGTTATTGTTGGTTTGTTTCTTTTATTGTGTTTTTGAAGTTTGAAACAAGGTCTAGTCCAGATTGGCCTTAATCTCACTATTTAGCCAGAGCTTAGCCTTGAATTTGTAATCTTCCTGTCTCTGCCTTTCCAGTACTGGGATTACAAATATGCACACCCACCTCTGAAGTATTTGTTAAAATGTAGACTTACAACTAAATTTCCCTCTGATGATTGTCATAACAACACCTCATAAACTTTAGCATGCATGATATATCTATTTCTGAGTAGTTTATAATTCCCTTTGGCTTTGTTCTCTCACCCATTGGTTTTTTTTTTCTACATGTTTGTAAAATTTTTCTGCATGTTTGTGAAGTTTCTTCTTCTTGATTTCTAACTTCATCTTATTATGTTGAGAGAAGATTCTTTATGTGGACTTAAAATACATTGAGGCTTGTTTTGTGGACTAGCATGTTGTCTCTCCTAGTAAATCTCATAAGTGCTTAAGAAGAATGTATTCTGCAGCTGCTACATGGAATAGTCCATACATGTATATTAAGTGTAGTTGGGTTTTTTTGTGATGTTCAATTCCTCACTTTTCTTCCATATGTCTATTTTACCCATTGTTGAACATATTATAATTGTTTGCTTTGAATTCTTACTTTGGAAAGATTTATCTTGGTTTCAGAATTTTCAGTGCATCATGACCACCAAGATGTGACAGACCAGAGCAGCCAGTTTTGTTTTTTTTTTTTTTCCAGTGTTGGTTATTGACCCAGGGCCTTGTATATGCATGCCCCTTACTGTTTGTTTTGATCACTGAAGTGTAAGCATAGCCTCTACTATTGTTTAACTCTATATTTTGACAGAATTTTTAGGAATTTTAAGGGAATAGCATCTGTATTGTTTCCCTTTTGCTTTATTTGGAAACAAAGATTAGGACATTGAAAAGCAACTGCTTGTATAGAAAGTAGACATCTACTGTGTATCATCAGGGAGGATACAGTCTCACAAAAGAGCCAGGAAAAAGTTTTTCCTAAATTCATCCCGAAATCCAGTACAGAGAGAATTAATATGTCAACTAATAACCAAAAAGATAAAACTAGGCTGGAGAGATGGCTCAATGGTTTTAAGAGCACTGGCTGCTCTTCCAAAGGACCCGGGTTCAGTTACCAGCATGGCAGCTCATAGCCATCTGTAGCTCCAGTTCCAGAGTGTCTGATGACTTCTAATCTATGGGGGTCATTAGGACACAGACTGGCATACTACCCATATACTTAAAAACTGGATGAGGGAAACTTTGACTTTCTATAATAATCACATATGATCCAAATGTCTTAGTTTTTAGTCACTTCAAATATCACAAAGCAGGATGGGGGATAGTGTCACACACCTATAATCCCAGGACTTGGGAGACAGAGGCAGGCAGATCTGGCAGCATGGTCTACAGAGTGAGTTCCAGGACAGCCAAGGTTACATAGTGAGAACCTGTCTCTTAAAACAAAACAAACAAACAAAAAAGCAGGGCTGGAGAGATTGCCCAGTGGTCAATTTAAGAGCACTTGTTGCTCTTGGAGAGATCCCAGGTTCAGGGATGGGACCTTATACAACTGTCTATAATTCTGTGTGGTTCATGTTTACTTGACACAAGCTAGAGAGACTGGAAGGAAGGGAGCCTCAATTGAGAAAATGCTTTCATAAGATTACACTGTAAGGGACTGGGGAGATGGCTCAGTGGTTAAGCACACTGGCTGTTCTTCCAGAGGTCCAGAGTTCAATTCCCAGTAACCACATGGTAGCTCACAACCATCTATATTGAGTTCTGATGCCCTCTTCTGAGAGCACTCATATACATAAAAAATAAAGAAAAAAAAAAGATTGCACTGTAAGCAAGTCTGTAAGGCATTTTCTTTTCTTCTTTTTTTCTCTTTTCTATTTTTTTTTTGGTTTTTTGTTGTTGTTGTTGTTTTTGTTGTTGTTTTTCGAGACAGGGTTTCTCTGTGTAGGCATTTTCTTAACTAAAGATTGATATAGGAGGACCTGGCCCACTGTGGGTGGGGCTACCCCTGCGCTGGTGGGCCTGGGTTCTATAAGAAAGCAGGCTAAGCAATCCATGGGAAACAAGACAGTAAGCAGCATTCCTTCTGGCCTCTGCATCAGTGCCTAACTTCAGGCATCTGCCCTGTTTGAGTTCCTGTCCTGACTTCTTCAATGATGAACAGTGACGTGGAAGTGCAAGCTAAATAAATCCTTTCCTCCTCAAGTTGCTTTGGTCATGGTGTTTTATCACAGCAATAGTAACCCTCACTAGGACACTCTAGCTCCAGGGGATCTGATTCCTTTTTCTTGCCTCTGCAGGCACCAGACACACATGTGGTACATTTAACATTCATGCAAGCAAAAACAAAATACATAAAAATAAGAGTAAATACATCTTTCCTTAGAAGTATAAAGAAAGCATGAGGCCTATAAAGGAACATTAAGTATGGCC